GCTTTGAGGGACTCTGGGGGGCCATTGGGGAGTGTTGGGCTGAAGTTAGAGGGGTGGGGGGTTCTGATTTGGGGGGGTTCCAGGGACACTTGGGGTCTGGGTGGTTTTTGGGGTGCCTGATCCCAGATCAAGTGCTCGGCCCTTACGCGAGGCGGGGGTGTCCTGGTGGGGTTTGAGGTGTTGCTGGTGGGATTCGGGATGCCTGAGCTCGTTTTTGGGGTGCCTGACCCCGTTTTTGGGGTGTCCCCGGTGGTGGACCCCCTGACCCCTCTGTGACCCCCCTCCCAGAGAAGGATCCGTCCCTGGAGATCCGGTACCGGCACAAGAAGTGGCGGGAGAAGGAGCATGAGGGGGCCAAAGGGCAGGAGATGGAGCAGGGCCGGGCTGCCAAGGTGGGCTCAGGGGGTGGGGACCCCACTAAGGGGGACACCCCAATTCTGGGGGGAGGCTGGGAGGTGCCTGAGTCCATTGGGATGAGGATTTGGGGGACAGCAGGAAGCTGGGGGGTGCTTTGGGGGAGATTTGGGAGACCCCTGACCTTCTCTGGGTGCCTGAGATCCCTTCTGGATTGGGTTTTGGGGTGTCCCGGGTGGGTTTTTGGGGTGCCTGACTCAATTTTTTAGTCTCCTGACCCTATTTTTGGGGTGTTTGACCCCAGATCAAGCACTCAGCCTGCATTTGGAGATTGCGAGGTGGGGGTGTCCCTGGTGGGATTTAGGATGTCCCTAATGGAATTTGGACTGTTCCTGATGGATTTTGGTGTGTCTAACCCAATTTATGAGGTGCCTGACCCCATTTTCGGGGTGCCTGACCCCGATTTTGGGGTGTCTGACCCCATTTTTGTTTGCCTGACCCCAGATCAAGCGCTCAGCCCGTGTGTGTGGGGAGTGCGAGGTGGAGGTGGCCCTGGTGGGATTTGGGGTGTTCCTGGTGGCTTTTGGGGTGCCTGAATCCATTTTCGGGGTGCCTGACCCCATTTTTGGAGTTCCTGACCCCATTTTCGGGGTGCCTGACCCCGTTTTTGGGTGCCCGACCCCAGATCAAGCGCTCGGCCCGCATGTGCGGGGAGTGCGAGGCGTGCCGGCGCCCCGAGGACTGCGGGCAGTGCGACTTCTGCCGGGACATGAAGAAATTCGGGGGCCCCAACAAGATCCGCCAGAAGTGCCGCCTGCGGCAGTGCCAGCTGCGGGCGCGGGTGAGCGGGCACCCAGCGTGTCCCCAACGTGTCCCCAGTGTGTCCCCAGCGTGTCCTTGGTGTGTGTTGGCAGTGGGGTTTGTCCCCCGTGTGGCGTGGCCTCAGTGCCTGCCAGGGCTGGGGGTGTTGGGGTGACCTTGGTGTGTCCCCGCTGTGTCCCCAGTGTGGCTCTTTGTCACAGTGTCCCTGTCGTGTGGCCTCTGTCACCACCTCGTGTCCCTTTGTCACCCTGTCCCGTGTCCCTTTGTCACTGTCTCGCTGTGTCCTTGTGTCTCTTTGTCACCTCATGCCACATCCCTGATGTGTCACGCTCGTGGCACGTCCCCGTGTCCCCCGCTGCTCACGTGCTCTATGTCCCCAAAAACTGCTGCCTGTCCCTGTGTCACCCTGAGGTGTCCCCAAGTGTCCCCATGTCTGTGTGTCACTGTCCACAGTGTCCCTGACATGTTTCCAACATCTGTTATGTCCCTGTGTCACCTTGTCTCGCTGTCCTCACGTTCCATGTCTGTGTCACTCTTATCAGCGTGTCCCCGATGTGTCCCCAACACGTCTTGTGTACCCAAGTGTCCCGTGTCCCTGTGTGTTCTTGTTCTCTGTCTCTGTGTCTCCATGTCCCTGTGTCCCCATGTCCTGTGTCACACTGTGTACCCATGTCTGTGTGTCCCCAAATCCCTGTATCCCCATGTCCTGTGTCCCCATGTCCTATGTCACACTGTGTCTCCATGTCCTATGTCACACTGTGTCCCCATGTCTGTGTGTCCCCACATCCCTGTATCCCCATGTCCTGTGTCCCCGTGTCCTATGTCACATTGTGTCCCCATGTCCTATGTCACACTGTGTCCCCATGTTCTGTGTCCCCATGTTCCACGTCCCCATGTCACCGCCCTGTCCCTGACGTGTCCCCTCCGTGTCCCCACAGGAGTCCTACAAGTACTTCCCCACCTCGGTGAGTCCCTGGGGCCCTGGGGGGAGGGGAGGGAGGGGAAAGGGGGACCCCAGACCCCCCCTGTCCCCGTGAGAAGGGCGTGGGGGAGGGCCCAAGCCTGGCCTGGGTGGGGAAGGGGCACCCCAAAATCCTCATTGCCCTTGGGGTGAGGGGGGGCTCACAGCTGCAGGGGCTGGGGGTGCCCAGGAAGGTGCTGACCCCCCCCCCCCCAGTTGGTGCAGGGGGGTCCCAGGGGTGCCATGAGAGGGTCCTGGGGGTGCCAAGGAGGTCCTGGGGGTGCCTGGTGGGTCCCAGGGGGTCCCTGGTGGGTGCTGACCACCTGCCAACTGATAGGGGTGTCCTGGGGGTGCCACTGGGGGTCCCAGGGGTGCCATGGGGGGGTCCCAGGGGTGCCATGGGGAGGTCCCAGGGGTGCCATGGGGGGTTCCCGGGGGTCCCTGGCGGTGCTGACCCCCCCCCCAGCTGGCCCGGGGGCGTGAGGGGGACCTGGAGCTGCTGAAGGCGCAGCTGGGGGGGCCGGGGCCCCCCGAGAGCCTCTCGGATGAGGAGCTGCCCCTCGACCCCCGGCTCTACCAGGAGCTCTGCGCCGGCGCCTTCGACGAGCACGGCCTGGTGAGCCCCC